GTTTTCTGAACACCCAGTCCTGGCCTCAGCTCTGCTGCAAAGTGCTTGTGTACTCATGTCCATCTGGATGGGGCTGAGTTAAAGGGTGGGAAGCCCCCAGGTGCTGTGATCAGGTCCCGGGACCATCTGTAGTGTTCACAGGGTCACCCACATTGCTAATGGAATGCAGAGAGCCATGCTATAGGTTCTGCAGATCTGCCTCTGAATCCCTGGCTAAAGAAGTCTCCACTCCATGCCTGGTTTGATGGGAAAAGAGCACCAGAATGGACAGCACCATTTAGATCCAGGGCATGCGCATCTCTTCTTGCCCACCTCACTGTGCAGATTCTTCTTAGGATATAAAAATGACTGCGGATTGGCTCAGTGGGATGCCCAGGGTGCCACTGTTTTAGGACTCAAAATGCTTTGTGCTAGGTATGAGTTTTGTTCTCTAAGAGGAAAATCTAAGCCAGGTACAGTGACACAGTCCTGTAATCCCAACTGCTTGAGAGGCTGAGGCAGGACGATTGCCAGTTCAAGGCCAGTGGGGGCAATTTAGTGACACAGTGTCTCCAAACAAACAAAGAAAAAAAAAAAAACAAGGATTGGGGAAGTAGCTCAGGGTTAGAGCACCCTGAGTTCAATCCCCAGTACCACATTAAAAAAATAAATAAATAAAACAGGAAAGTCCAGAAAGACGAGGAAGAGGCTCCCATAATTCTTTTGCAGTTTCTAGGAGACTCTGGATTATAGTGAAGGACCAGATCTCAAAGTCCAGCCTTTCAGCTGGACCAGATCCTGTAAGAGGGCCCTGGAGGGAAAGAATGGAAGAAAACAAGGGCCATTACTGAGCCTGTCCCTGGCAGCAGCCTTGGCACATCCCAAACATCTCACCGAATTCTCCTGCCAGCCTCAGGACACTTGACATGTGGGATGCCCAGGGTGCCACTGTGTACTCATGTCTACCTTGGGAGCCACTGAGAAGTCGGGACGTGTTGCAGCGCAGGCTCCCACAAGAGGCAGGACTGCAGCAGGCGCTGCTGGGGCTGGAGGCGTCACTGCCAAGCCCCTCGCTTGTCTGGTCTTTTCAACCCAGGTGGATAATTTGTATTTTTACACCTACTTAATAATGAATGACCACATCTTGTCAAGTGAGCAGCTGGGAAAAACAAGGCTGACCTGGTTCAATTTGCACATATTCAAGCATCTGGAGCCTTCGTGTCATCCAGCCGGGCAGCCAGGCTCTCTGCAGCCCTGCAGTGGGCATCCAAGCCACTCCAGCTCCTCAGGTCTCTGTTTGCACACGTACCAGGTGGCACATTTGACTTTCTGCTTTCTTAAGGAAGCCACTAGACCTCCCCTTCCTCCCTGAGCTTCCTCCCTGTGAGGGTTGATTAAAAGAATTTGTGTAAGACTTTTGGTAGAGCTGGACACAGTGGCACATAGCTGTAATTCCAGAGACTCAGGAGACTGAGGCAGGAGGACTGCAAGTTCAAAGCCAGCCTCAGCAACGTGGCAAGGCCCTAAGCAACTTAGCAAGACCCTGCAACACAATAAAAAATAAAAAAAGAGTGGGGGGATATGACTCAGTGGTTAAAACCCCTGGTTCAATCTCTGATATTAAAAAAAAAAAAAACAACAACAAAAAAAGAGAAGACTTTTGGTATAGCACTGGCCCTATTCCACCTGTGATCCATTGTTATCCATAATTTCTATTATTTCTCTGTCACTTTATTCCTACTTTGTCTTTCTTCTTTATTCCTGTTCTAGCATTTTGCTTACCCCTAAAGCAAACACTTCCAAGGCTACTTCTTCTCTCCTCCTCCTGTTCCTTTTCCTCTTCTTCCTCTTCCCCCTGTTTCCCCCATAGCCCTTCTCCTTCTCCTTTTTTTGTTTTTGTGATACTGGGGATTGAACCCATGAATGCTTTTCCATTGAGCTACATCCCCAGCCCTTTTTATTGTTCTTTTGAGATAGGGTCTTGCTAAGTTGCTGCGGCTCACCTCCAACTGGCAATCCTCCTGCCTCAGCCTCCCTAGTCACAGGCATGTGCCACTGGGTCTGGCTCATCCTTCCTTTACCTCCCCAAGGGACTGGTGATCACCCCCACCTCCCCATTCCTAATAGTTCTCATCTCCTCTTTTCCACTGATTCCTTCTCTTCTGCTTCCAACCAAAGACAGTTCTCCTCACCATTGACTTCCTGTCCCCTGGAGCTTAAAATCTCGTATTCTACTTTTCCTTTTCTTCTTCCTCCCAACTAAGTGTCAGATGGTGCCTCGACTTCCTTTGGATGTTTGTGGGATCCACCCTTCCCTCTCCCCAGTTTCTGCCACTTACTCTTGGCCCTTATTTACTGGGTGACAGTTCCCACCTGGTGATCCCAGGATCGCCTGGGGCCTCTCAAGACCCCTTCAGGGAGAATGCAAGGTCCGATCTATCCTAACAACACTGGCACATCATTGACCTTTCTCTTATTATCCCAGGAGGGTACAGTGGCGTTTCTCAGTGACTGAATGACATGGGATGACCTCATTGCCATGAACTTGTGCTAATATATTCTGCTGTTTTAAATTGTTCTCCGTTTTATTTTCCAATATGGTAAATAGCGAGAAATGTAACCCACATGAAAGAGCTGTTTGAGGTCTTCAGAAAAATTTTAAGTCAATAGGGAGTTCTGAGACCAAAAGTTTGAGAATGATGAGCTGGGCCCTACTAGACTGCAGGATGCCCGGGTGTGAGTTAGAAAGATGCCCCCTCTGGGCGAACACAGCCCCATTTCAGAGCACAGGGTCTGGATTTCATTCCCTCTTCATTGCTTTGTTTGGATTCTTTGAGAAATGCACAAACTACCCAACGGTACATGGTGACCTGTGTTTATGAGATATCCTATGTCTCAGCCCACCTCCTCTCTGGTTTATTGTGTACAGTCTCGCTGGCTTGCTCTTTTATAGGGTTACTTTATTTATTTGTCCTCTAGTTCTAAGGGCCTTGTTGGTTTCCCACTGTCTCCTGGATACATTCTGGATGTACCTGGATGCATGCTTCCTGATGTGGGTGGAATTCCTCCACCACCTGGCTTCCATTCCCCCTTCCAGCTTTATTTCCCAGTGCTCCTTGGCTAAGTCTCGCTTTCCTGTCCACATCCTCACCAGCAATATTCCCTCTGCCTTCACGGCTTCCCTCCAGCCCTCCCCGCCCCTGGTCTCTACCTCCGGGAGCTCCTGAAGTCAGGGTCCTCTCTTACTCCTCTTGGCAGCTGCATTCAGTCCTGCCATGCTCTGTATTGGGTAGGTGGGGTGGCCAGGGCATGGGTTTTGGAGTTCGACAGACTGCGGTTTGAGACAGCTCTTCCATACCAGCAGAGGGGCTGTGACAGGTGACTTACCCACTCCAAACATTAGACAGGCACTCTCTTCTGTCTGGGGGTGATCCTGGCCATCTCCTAGAAGATGTGAGAAGCAGAAGTTCAGTAAAGGCGGCTAATTCCCTTTCCTTTTCTGCCCCCCACCCCTGAGAGAGTGCCCTGTGCAGAGAGAAGTCATGGACATTTTTAGGTGAAGAGGACACTGTCCTGTAGGGGTATTTGTCTTCTACCTGAAGTGTCCTGGTGCCTTCAAAACACTGATTCGTCTCCCCAGGGGCCTCACTTTCCCCTGAAATCTGATTAATGCTGATGCATGCTTAACTATTTTGGAATTTGCCAGTTGTCAAAAATAACCAGGGTTTTAGTGCAGTGACCCAAGTGCCCTCCCTCTGGGCACCAACAGATTGATCCCCTTCACAGTCCAGAGAATCATATTCTTCATAATGATCAGATTTGCCGGGTGCTCTTTACTTTAAGAGTTTTGGGATTGATTAATGCCGTTCATTTTCCTAATAACCCCGTGGAGGAGGATGTGACTTTCTCCAAGTCACAAGGCAAATCATGGAGAGGAAGGACTTTGAACTTGACCCTTCCCCCATCAGACATTCTTCTTCACTGGGCCGAGTGCAGGAACTGTCTCGTTGGTCTCTGTATTAACAGCACTCAACCCACAGGCAGATCTGGAACAGGTGCTTATTAACGAGTCATTGAATTCATGAAGAAATAAAGCTGGTCCCAAGATGGGCTTTGAGTATATCTTGGAAATAGCTAACCACCTATTCCCTCAGGGAAAAGTTCTCTTTATCTCTCCTTTTATTCACAAGAATTTATGTGTGAAGCTCCATTTTAGGTACTGCATGCATACATCAGTGAACAAAACAGACTGCATCTGTGATCTTGATGTCACTTAATTTTTCTTTGGGGAGATAGAAACACACACACACACACACACACATACACACACAATGAAATAAATATTTAAAGGGATGCTGGGTGATGGTAAATTCTAGAAAGAAGAACACAGCAGGGCCAGGGCCTGGGCATTATCATCACAGGGGTTGGCAGTGGTTTTTGTACAGAGGGTGGTCGTAGAAAGTTCTATGATTCCTCAAAGTGAGGGAGTGAGGTTAGAGCTTGGCAGGCTGAGGTGACAGCAAGGACAAAGTTCATGAGGTGGGAATGACCCAGTCATGCATGCTAGTGAACTTGGCAATGGCAAGTTTGGGGTGAATAGAGAGGAGAGGGAAAGACAGGTAGGAGGTAACATGAGAAAGATGATGGAGATGGTGCAGGCTACTCGGGGTTTTGTCTTTGACTTTCACTGAGATGGGAAGCCATGGGAGGGTTTTGAGAATAGGAGCATCCCATCCTGATGCATTTTAAAGGATCTTTTTTTTTTTTCTTCTTTTAGGTGCATTAAGTGAGATGGGTGTCATTTGTTAGAAAAAAATGAGTTTATTAGTTTTAAAACTAAATAAATTCATGGACTTATAAGTTGTATTCTTCTGTCTTTTCTTTCTTCTTTCATGAGCTGGCTTAATTCCTTCTCTCCCTGATCCCCAAAGAGCTGGTGGGGGCCCTGTGGGCCTCAGCGCTGGGAGGGAGCTGGGCCATCTTCGGTTCAGGGGTTCCTTCCCGTCTCTTCTTGCCCACAGGAGACTGGAGCAGAACTTCTTCAACTGCAGCTGCGACATCCGCTGGATGCAGCTGTGGCAGGAGCAGGGGGAGGCCAGGCTCAACAGCCAGAATCTCTACTGCATCAACGCCGACGGCTCACAGCTCCCCCTCTTCCGCATGAACATCAGTCAGTGTGGTGAGTGAGAGCCTGGCCCCAGCCCCCGCTCCTGGAGGCACTCCTGGGTCCCCCCCCACCAAGGGGCTGGACCTTGACCTGGCATGCCAGGGCCTTCTTCCAGCCTTGACCTCTGCAGTCAGGTGCAGATCCGACTAGCCTTCTCCCTCCTTGGTCATTCCCATTCCTGAGCCCGCCAGGGAAGGTTGGTTATGGGAATGCAGACAGGAGTTCTGTGCCCCCCTTTTCTCATCAGACCAGAATGCCCTTTCTTGTCAACCATATCTGAAGGTGCATGTCTCAAAGTGTGGTGTCCAGACTGCCTCTATTGGAAGTTTCTAAGGTGCTTTGAGAAAAGCCAATTTCTGGGCCCAACCACAGACCTTTGAGTTCACAATGTCTAGGGATGGGTCCCAGAAATCTGAATTTCTAGATGGTTCCCTGTGGTGACCAAGCACACAAATTGTGTGAGTCGCACTTCCCTAAGTAGAACGGAGCCATTGGGTTTAGTTGTTAAAATGCATTCCTTGGGCAGCTGCCCCATCCATGCCCTGATGAGGGGAGCAACAACTGTATGGGCTTCAACTCTGAGCTCTGATGTCTACTGGGAAGGGGGTGTAAAGCATCTGGAGTTTGGGGAAGGTCTTCCAAGAACTCAAACAAATTGTGTTGGTGTTGTTGTTGGTCAAGGCAAAAAGTGCCATTATCAGCCCCATGGAGAGAGCTTCTTTTGGGGGTCTTCACCTGTCTTGTCACTCCATCTGTTACCTGCTTTGCTCCTAGACCTTCCTGAGATCAGCGTGAGCCATGTCAACCTTACTGTTCGAGAGGGTGACAATGCTGTCATCACTTGCAATGGCTCTGGATCACCCTTGCCTGATGTGGACTGGATAGTCACAGGGCTGCAGTCCATCAACACCCACCAGGTAGGCATCCTGGCATCAGCACCCATTGGGGTGCTAAGGAGTGGTCACCTGTTAGTCATAAAGAGGGAAAGTTTGTGGTTCTGTCATTATAGGAAGAAATGTGGACTTGGATTCCATCTAGCTGAAATATTTTCTAGCCATTTTGACCTTATGCATACTATCAACCTCTGGGTACCTTAGTTTCTTCATCTGTGAAATGGGTATAATGCTAATATTCAAAACATTACATTAATGGGAGGACGGTTATTGACCATGAAGAGCTTGACATTTGGTCAGTGTTCTTTAACTAGTATATCTTCCCCACCTGTTGTGCCTTCCTCTAGAATCCAGAAGGTGTCCAGGGTTAGGGAGGAGAATGTCCTTGTAGAAACTGAGTTTTGTCTTCTTATTTGGGTTTTCAGACAAATCTGAATTGGACTAATGTACATGCCATCAACTTGACACTGGTGAATGTGACGAGCGAGGACAATGGCTTCACCCTGACATGCATTGCGGAGAATGTGGTGGGCATGAGCAATGCCAGTGTTGCCCTCACTGTCTACTGTAAGTACAGGCAGGATGGCTGGGTACTAAGAGGATGCTGGTGCAGAGTCTGGGGAGAGGCAGAGACATTGCTAGAACTGAGTGAGAGCAGTGACCCTGGGCTACCATTACAAGCAGAAAAGCTTTCATAGGGCAGGACTGAGAAGTAATTGCTTGAATGCAGGCTGCAATGGCACACACTAGTCATTCCAGAAATGTGGGAGGCTGAGGTAGGAGGATCACAAGTTTGAGGCCAGCCTCAACAACTCAGTGAGGCTCTAAGCAACTTAGCGAGACTCTATCTCAAAATAAAAAATAAAAAGGGCTGGGGATGTAGCTCAATGATAGAGTCTCTGGGTTCAATCCCCAACACCAACAATAAATAAAATGAAAAAAGTTCTTATATAGTAAACTCAAGAAAGGGTATCCTTGCCCTCAGAAGATGCTGTGCTTCCAGTTCAACTACATCTTCAGGACACTCCTGAGCTGGCCTTTTCTATCCGTGGTTGAACCCCTAAAAATGCCCTGAGAGGGAATCGTGCAGTTCAGATAGAGCCAGGAAGCCTGGATGGGGGGCGGTGGGATTCTGCTTCTCTCTGTCTTTTCAGAGCTGGGTGGGGGAGAACGGGGATCCCATCTCTGCTGCTGGAAGGCTGCTCTGGGACCCAGGAGTCCCGCTGTCCAGGATTTCAGCTGGCCTCTTCCCCCCACAGACCCCCCACGCGTGGTGAGCCTGGAGGAGCCTGAGCTGCGTCTGGAGCATTGCATCGAGTTCGTGGTGCGCGGGAACCCGCCACCAACGCTGCACTGGCTGCACAACGGGCAGCCGCTGCGGGAGTCCAAGATCATCCACGTGGAGTACTACCAGGAAGGCGAGGTCTCTGAGGGCTGCCTGCTCTTCAACAAGCCCACTCACTACAACAACGGCAACTACACCCTTATTGCTAAAAACCCCCTGGGCACGGCCAACCAGACCATCAATGGACACTTCCTCAAGGAGCCCTTTCCAGGTGAGGGCAGCCCAGCTGGCCCTGAGGTGCACAGGTTCCCTCTGGGAGTTGGGGGTGGGGGTGGTAGTTTGAGAGGAGAAGAGTCACTCATCTTCGTATAGTTATCGCAGGTAACCAAACACACTGGGGCACCGGTAGCACCCTCTGCGTTTTATATAAGCTAAGATGAAGTCTCTATTTTCCAAAACCTCTCCGAGCAAAATCTAAGACATCTCAGAAATACACGATTGTCCATCTAAGAGCATACTGTGTTACAGCAGAGAGAGAGCAGGACTTCAGAGATGGTCAATAATGGTGGAGAATTTCCCCCCAGCCCTTTATTTGTTGGGAGATCCTGGACCTGGTAGTTTTCTAATCCTTGATTTCCTCAACTATGAAATGGGCATGATGATACTGCTCCTGTAAGGGTCTTGTGGCTTTTATTGTTGTATTATTTATTTAATTAATTACTTTCTTTGTGATATACTGGGGATTGAACCCAGGGGTGCTTTACTACTGAGCTACATCCTCGGCCCTTTTTATTTTTATTTTTTTGAGGCAGGGTCTTCCTATGTTGTCCAGGGTGGCTTCAAACTTGTAGTCCTTCTACCTTAGCCTCCTGAGTTGCTGGGATTACAGCACATTGCCACCACATCTGGCATTTTGTGGCTTTTAAATGAGTTCAGTTATACAGAGCACATGTCATAGAATTTGGCTCCTCTTTTTGTTTGCTGGTCAGCAGCGCATCTGTTTTCATGAAGGTGACTTCTTGGTCTGTAGCTAGCTACAGGGCCTTAGCTCTGGGAGGCTTATTTATCTCGGGACAAGGGAACTGGGATTAGAGTGAAGCTGGGCAACTGAAGGCCACAAGCAAAGCTAAATTTTTGCCACTGGGGCCCAGGGTTTGAGGGAGCTGTCTTTGCAGAGAGGATTGAGAGCATGTTGATGTTTTAGGTGCTGCATATCTCACGTGGTCTGACATTTCCAGCATCATCTCCAGCAGGCCCTGTAAGAAACCCCAAGACAATTCCTGTTTAGGACCATGCTTGGCTCCTTCAGGGAGAAGGATCCTAGCCTGTATTGTAGAAGTAGACGCTTTCAAATGTGCTCTCAAGGTCATAAAATCAGGCTAGACCCAGTCCTTTGCTCCCCCTGTACCCACCTGATTAGATTGAATTCTGATATTTGAAAGCAGCATCTACACTCCCTGATGCTCCACAAGCTGTAGCAGCCCATCTCCTAGTCCCTGGATGCCCTTATCACCACAGTCAGTAACAAAGACTCCTTAGGCTAGTGGTTCTCAAAGTGCGGTCCCCAGACCAGCAGCCCCAACATCAGCTGGATTAAAATTGAAATTGTCAAACCCCCTTCAGTTCTTCTAAATCAGAAACTCTGGGGCAGGGTCCCACAGCTGTACTTCATCAAGCCCCCAAGTGACTGGGATATCCCTCCTTTGCAATCTGCTGCTGTGGCATTTTGTGGGAATCTGGCTCCAGGAGGGGGGCGAAGGATGGAGCCACACAGAAGCTCAGAGAGAAGGCAGCTCACCTGAGGTGTGTTTCTCAGCCCCATCCACACTCTGCCAGGGCCACGCTGTGTGGAGGTTGCTTGTTTTATGAGACTTTATGTTAAAGGAATCAATGGATGATGAAAAGGTAATGACAGGGAAGAGATGGGCCAGTCATGTCAAGTGACAAGATGTCTAAATGTTCAGAAGAGTAAATTATCTGGGGGAACAGGCAAGGATACCATATAACCCTCTCAAATAAACCTTACGCTGGCTGAGCACTAGATACAAAGCCAGTCTGCAGATCCCTGCTCTTCCCTCCTGACAGGAGGGAGTGGAGAAGATCTTATTTACCATACGTACCTTTCCCTTGCTTCTGGGCAGCGAAGCGTCAAGGTTAAGAATAAGGGCTCTAAAATCAGCCTGATTTAGTTGCACATCCCATCTGTGGTCCTCCCAGACAAGTGGCCTGGGATCTTAGAATGGGGCTTAGTCCATGGTCAGTACTTTATGCTTCTGTTTCTTCATCTGTGAAATGGGAATGATCACAATACCCTCCCACCCCCACCTAAGTTGTCATGAGGATTAAATGAAGTCACAGATGCAAGGGCTCAGCAGTATGTCTGCACAGAGAAAAGACTTAGTTGCTGTTGGCCATTGCTAGATTTATAAAGTGAATTCAGACATTTAGAACCAATTGTCAATCTCTGGTGGATCCAGTAAGTCCTAGCTGGGCATGGTGGTGAATGCCTGTAATCCCATATACTTCGGGAGGCTGAGGCAGGAGGATCACAAATTCCAGGCCAGCCTGAGCAACTTAGTGAGACTGTCTTGGAAAAACAAATAAATAATAAAGGGTTGGACATTAGCTCTGTGGTAGAGCACTTCTAGGTTCAGTGTCCAGTACTGTAAAATCAAAACCAACAACAACAAAAATATAAAACAAAAAACATATGCATAAAATCAAAACCAAAAAAACTAGCAGATTCTAATAGACTTCAGGCAGTCTAGGGTGATGGTTATGCAGCCACCTGCTAGGGTTCAAACTCACTCCATCACTCCTTAGCTGTGTGACTTCAGGCAAATTACTTGTCTCTGCGCTTCTCCCTCTAAGCTTGTGGTGCAGATGAATCCTTGACTTCTCGGGGAGTTAATGTCTGGGCTGTAGAGGGCACGTGCATTCCATTCATTGTGCAGCCCAGTTGGCATTCCTGTGGTGCTTGGCATGCTGGTCCGGTCCTCCTCCTGGCCTATTGATGGGGGTCAGAGTGGAGGAGCCTTCATGGGACCATCCTCTGCTATGTACTTCTGAGTCCCTCCCACAGGTTAGAGAGCAGCCCAAGTCTCCCTCTTCCAGAGGTTCCTGAATGTATAAACACTTCCAGGCTCCAGCAGAAGACTTTAATGTTCATAAGCTGATTTGGAGATTACAGGGTTAAGAGATTCAGCCAAAACATTTGGCTGACATGAGAATGTTCTCTAATAAATGGGAGCCTTATGAGAAATTTGCAAATTAATAGCTTCTGCAAATGGATCTGGCCCCTCTCTCAGCTCAGGCTCTGAAGCCAGGGGCCCATCTCAACCATCCTCCCCTCAAGTCAGGCCAGTTGAGGAGGGAGTGGTGACGTGAAGGGGTATGTTCAGGGGTTTGGAGAAAGTTCTGTTGCTGTCCCCTGTGACAACACAGCAGACAACAAACAAGCCATCAAATGACAGTGTTAATAGGACCTTCTCTGAAGGACTCCATCACACAAAGCATCCCATCCCCACAGGTAGTTAGATACGTAATAGATCTATGGTTACGTGGCCGTTCTGGCTTAGCCAAAGGTCTGGTAAGTAGGAGACCCACAGTGAATGAATAAATGAGTGAATGAATGAATTGCTCTTGTTTTTCAGGGTGTGGCAGGCAGAGGTGTAGTATAATGTAGCATCAGCATCTCTGAGAACTGGTTAGAAATGCAAATTCTTGAGACCCACCCAGACCTATGTATCAGAAATTCTGGGGGTGTTTCTGTTTATTTTTATTTTTTTAGTATTGGGGATTGAACCCAGGGGTACTTACCGCTGCATATCCAGCCGTTTTTTATTTTATATTTCAAGACAGGGTCTTGTGAAGTTGCTGAGGCTGGCCTCCAACATGAAATTCTCCTGCTTCAGCCTCCCAAGTTGCTTGCATCACAGACATGCCCCACCACACCCAGTCCAGCTTGACTTAAATCTTATCACTTGTCCCACTGACATTCTTTTGTCACCTGGGATCCAATTCAGAATTATATCTTGCTTTTATTTCTACTTTACCTTAGTATTTCTAAGCCTGAGACAGTTCCCCAGTCTTTATCGTACACCCTCTTCGCACCATTGTAGAATACTCAATATTTTGTAGACTATATCCCTCAATTTGTATTCATTTCTCATGACTAAATTCAAGTTATGCATTTTTGAAGAACATCACAGAAGTGACGCTCTGCCCTTCTGGTACACTGTATCAGAGAGTGCACAGTGTTTACGTCTTGTCATCAGTGATGTTGACTTTATCATTTGGTCAAGATGGTGTCTACTAGGTTCCTCCATTGCAAAGTTACTCTTTTCCCCTTTGTAAGGATAATGATTTGAAACCACATAAATGGCTTGTTTCTCATTATTCTTTTATGCATTAATTTTAGCATTCATTGATGGTTCTTGCCTGAAACAATTATTACTGTAGTACTTGCCAAATGGTGATTTTTCTATTTCTATCATTCCTTCTCTGTCTACTAGCTGGAATTTTACCATAAGGAAGAGCTTTCCCTTCTTCCCCCATTTATTTATTCAATTACTTGTTGTATCCGTATGGATTTGTAGATATTTTTATAATTTATGTATTCTTTTTCTAGGTTTGTCATAGTAACGTACTGTAGACAGAATGGCTTAAACAACAGAAATGCATTTTCTCACAATTCTGGAGGCTAGAAATCTGGATTTAGTATTGGTAGAGTTGGTTTCTTTTGAGGCCTCTGATCTTTGCTTGTGGGTGCCGTGTTCTCCCTGTCCTCACCTGGCCTCCCTCTGTGCATGTCTGGGTCCTAATCTCCTTTTATCAGGACACCAGTCATGATGAATTAGAGGCCACATTGATGACCTCATTTTATCTCCAGTATCTTCTTAAAATTCAGTCAAATTTTTAAGTATTGGATGTTACAACTTATATATATATCTATTGATGGATCTTTATTTTATTTATTTATTTATATGCAGTGCTGAGAATTGAACCCAGTGCCTCACACATGTAAAACAAGCGTTCTACCACTGAGCCACACCCCAGTCCTGTTACAGCTTTAATACATGGATTTTGGTGGGGAGTGACACAATTCAGTCCATGATAATCCATGGCTTTTACTATTTTTCTACATTTGGCTATTAGAAGCCCCCTTCTCAGCTCTCTCTCTAGGTCCCCATTAATCTTCAAGCACTTTTTCACTCTCTAGTACTATAAGCTATTCTAGCCCCATCTTGCGTTTTCTCTATATTGGTCCTGAATCATTCATTTCTTCAAGGAATACTCATTCCTTTCTGTGAAGAAAGGTAGCAGTAGCCCTTCAGATGATTCCATTGCACATTAAAGTTTAAATGTCTCTGGTAGAGTAGTTATAAATCCAGCTCTAATCCCTTCTTAGATGAATGGCATTAATTTATTACTTAATCCCTATAACCCGTTCCCTGATTGTTTAAGTGGAGATGTTGCCTCCTACCTCCAAGGATGTAAGGACTGAGTGATATGTTACCTAGAATGCTTAGCACAGCCTCTGGCTCATAATCAATGCCCAGTTTAGGATTAGCTTTCATTATTTGGTAAGCTACTTCTATAGGCCAATGCTCAAATAAATAACTGTCTCCATCTGAAGGATGGGCAGATTCTAGAGAATGGAATCTAGATGGGAATCTAGAGGGACTCCCAACTTCTCAGTGACCTACTAGAATCAACTGCACTTATCAATTTCAACTTGAGATCACAGTTGGCCCCACTCTGCCACACCATGGCCAGCACTCTGGATCCTGAAGGAGGAAGGGTCATAGGTGAGATAGTGGATCAGGGTTAAATCCCCATCTCATAATGAAACCAGTTTGGTTTCTGGTTCCCATGTGGGTCTCCGCCTTTGAAACCAGGAGCTTTACCTCTAATTCCTTCTCCCAGTTGGAGGACCACTCCGTAAAGAGTTGGTGCCATGCTTCGGGCACATATGGTGTGTCAGGAATTTTAGCATGTGTCATTTGTTATGGGAATAGGGGATCATGGGGAGTGGGAGAGGTCACAGCTATCAGTATGATGTGGTGTGCCTATTCTATTTTGTCTTACATTTGCTAACGACCTGTTTGTCCTTTTTTTTTGCAGAGAGCACAGATATCTTTGACTTTGGTAAGTCCGCTTTACCTTTTGCTTTGAAAATGATTTATTCTGATAGTTTTGGTAGCTATGGAATCCAAACAGTCCTCTGTCCTATTTCACATTATTTCCTGCCCCATAGTAGCACTGGGCATCTGAGTGAATTTTGAAAAGGGACTAGAGTGTAGAAGTGCAGTTTTACTTGGACAGTTCCAAGCCCATTTTTTCTTGGGTCATTGCCTCAGTTTTCCCCAGGGAGTTTTCTAAGGTATGGTCATGTTATGGGTCTCCCTACCTAGACAAAAAGGGGATGACTGTACGGTTTTATGTGCCCTGGTATACCCCTCCTCAAAATTTCCATTCTTCTGGCAGAAACCATATGGAACTTATAAACCTACTAATGGTTCTCACTTGCTTCAAGGGCCCAAGAATTTGACCAGAACCCACCCCCAAGTAGAGTTGTGATTTATAAGGCCTCTTAATGAATACATGTGGTCCCCAAATGGAATAATTGAGGCTCAGTATATAAGTGATTTGGTACTAAGGCTAGATAATCCTAAAAGGATTTGAGGTTTTGCCTGTGGGAATAATAGTAGTCATTTCCATTTCTGCCCAGTGTCTGTCCTGTTTAGTGGTACTGTTGGCCATTTGGCACTGATGTAAGTATCATCTATGATTCTCTTAGTTGTCCTCAGTCTTTTCTTTATTTGTTTTCATTTTAATTTGTTCTTTTTAGTTATACATGACAGAAAAGTCTCTTTTGATATATTTATACAAACATGGAATCTTGTCTTATTCTAACTGGGATCCCAGTCCTGTGGATGTACATGATGTTGAGGACTTGTAATCCCACAGATGTCCCTTTACAGAATTCTGAGTTGGGGCCATTTCTTGCCAGGGGGGACAAGTTCTGGCTGGAGGACAAGCCAATATGTGGCTTCCTATCCAGGTTTTCTGGATAAAGGCGGTATTTCCTGATCAGGTGGTTATGTTCTTCAAGTTGAGCTGCCATTGTGTTCTGAAATCAGTGTAAGGGAGATGGATACTGGGTTGTTTCTGAGACCACAGGCCTGATCTCACTGAGGAATAATGAGGGAGAGAGGATGGGTGCAGGAGGAGCACAGGGATGGGGTACGAGATGCCCTCGGTGAGGAGTTAAAGAATATTAGGAACAGCTGCCTAGTTCCTAACCTGGCCTGGATCCCAAGTCATTTCCTCTTTTCCATCCCATAGTTCATGCACGGGTGACAGTATTTTCTCTGGGGTGGAGGTAGAAGATGGGAATGAAGGCCCTTTCCCCCTATGGAGCCTGTCCTTCAGCTGGAGCTCCAGCCAGGTGGCCAGACAGGGCCTGCCCTTAGGGGGTCGCTTGCAAATCTGGGAGGGAGGCCTGGAGGATCGTGGCCTCCAGAGGGCCTTCTCCAACAGGAAGTATCAAGAGGGACCGAGAGGTGGGCAGGGACTTTGTCTGGGCCTCCCAGGGCCAGGAAGCTAAATGTCCTTCTCTTTTTGTATTTGATTTTCAGAGTCTGAAGTAAGCCCTACACCTCCTATCACTGTGACCCACAAACCAGAGGAAGACACCTTTGGGGTGAGTGGCTTGTTGGTTAAGGGGAACGTGTTTATTGGTGTAGTCATGTTCAGACTTAATTTGACTTGCTTTTCCAAATATTAACTTACTCGGAACCTTAGTATTTAGGGCAGAAAAAAAAGCAATGACAAATGATCTCCTTTTAGGTGGTTTAAGACCTTCTTTGTTTGATGGGAATAGTTCTTTGTTTGATGGGAATAGTTCGTTGTTTGAGGATCTTTGGATCTGCTCCAAGCCCTGGGGGTCAGAAGAGAACGGTTTGAAAATGCGCAGTCAGTTAGATCCTGGCTGGGCTTCTTTCCTTCACAGGGCCTGATCACTGTACAAGTCGAAGTCTGAGTTGCTTGGGCCTCTCCTTGGGTAGATTTTTCAAGTCCCACTCTCTCAGAGCCTGAGATTTCCCTGGGGAAGAGTCTAATGGAGTCTTCAGGGTCCAGATCTCCTAGGCCTTCTTGGATAGGAATATTATGTAAAAATGTCAAAAATGTAAATATGAAGATATAGAATTGGTTTGCTAATTAAAACAAGAGACAGAAGTTCCTACAGGCTTTCTTTTGCATCTCTAGAACGGAACTCCAGGTGAGGGGCTGCAGAACGTTGACTCATATTGTTTTAATCAAAATGGATAATTTTTATTTTTATTTACTTATTTATTTTGGTACTCGAGATGGAACTCAGGGCTGCTCTATCACCAAGCTACATCTCCACCTGCATTTACTTTTCATTTTGAGACAGAGTCTCACCAAGTTGCCCAGGTGGCCTTGAACTTTGATCCTCCTGCTGAGTGGCTGGAACTGCAGCCACGTGTTACCACGGGGTGTTATAAAATACTTCTTCTAAGGGCCTTACTCAGTAGCTAAGTTCGGAGTGGGCTGTGGTTGCTCTGCAGTAGGACTGTTCTCATGTGGGCTCTCCCGTGTTCCATGGCTGCCCTGACCTGCTGTGCTTGGCTCTTCATAGGTGTCCATCGCGGTTGGACTGGCTGCGTTTGCCTGCGTCCTTTTGGTGGTTCTCTTCATCATGATCAACAAGTATGGTCGACGGTCCAAATTTGGAATGAAGGGTAAGATGGATTTTTATTGGGGGAAAAGATGCCTCCTTTTAATCTAAAGATGCTGTTTTCATCTTTTTTGGTCTCTTGAACGAGCTTCTGGTCGTGGGGTCCAAGTGATCTTGGAGGAGACTCCTGTCTGAACCCTTGTTCTCAGTATGGACTAAAGGCTGTGTTGAGATCTGTGGGAACCAACCCGTGGAGCCCGTGGTTTTACGTGGCTGCTGATTACCATTGTTCAGATGGTCTTTTGTGATGAGGATAATTTGGAAGGAAGTTGAATTTGAGGGCAACTGAAGTAGATGTTTTAAATTATTTTTTTTCATTATTGGTGGGTAAAGGGACTCTTGGTTTGAGTGACTTGTTTTTCTCTCATCTGCATCCATCCTTGGATGTCCCCATCTTTGGCAGTACCCAGGGCTGTGCCTCCCCTCAGCTGTCCTCGGAGCCCCTCTCAGTGAGGAGTTAGCCCAGCCATGCAGGGTGGTAGACTCTGGTATTGAAAAGCTGCCCGTGCCATGGTATTTCAGCACATAGCTCTACACAGAGTCCTGGAACAGATGCCAAGAGCAACACGACTTCTAATCTTCTGGCTAGCTTCCATGGCACAGAGTACTGCACCCCTTTATGGCAGGGGTGGGGTGCTAGAATGTGGCACTCTGCCAAGGCTCCATTAAGGGGCACTGGCATGAAAGGGGTTAACGTGGTGAATTAGCATCCACCTGCCTGGCCCCAGAGATGGATGTGACCAAATGGCTCAAGGGAGCCTGGGTGGCAGTTCCAAAACAGAAACTTGAATTTCAGCTAGGGTTTCCATGTGAGGGGTTGGGGGAGGATAGGAAGAAGGGGTGGTAAAAGCTTGCTTAGATGAGATTCAGGTTGGTGTCTGCTGGTGAGACTAGGTGACCAAGAAGGATGAACTTCTGTGTCTTCTTTGTCTGTGGTTGGGGTTCTGACCTTGGGGCTCAGGGACTGAAGGAGAGTGCACAAGTGACGTTGGAACAGTATCCCCTGAACTTATGTGCAAATGTTTGAGTGTTTATACATAGAATGAAACTTGTACGTAGCTTTTGTGATAGTCTCCAAAGATTCCGCGTGGCCCTTAAATGTTGAGAACAATGATAGGTCAGAAGTTACCCAGAAAGGAACAGGAAGGCTGAAAACCTGGGACCAGACTGCTTGGTTTTCCAGGAGTCTTGAAGCGTTTCTTGAAGTATCTGAAACATTTGAACTGAGAAAAATATATGTGCAGGCAAATGATAAAGAGCAGAGAGAGGTTTGGTGACTTTAAAAAAGGTCAGATTACTCTTAGGCACCTTGGCTAGAGATGTTGTATCTGCCAACACTTGACATATGTCAAAAGGGCTTCGTGGGTTTAGATGGGCTGAACACTGAGTGAGCTCCAAGCCCTCTATCTTATTGTAATTCTTGGGCTTTTGGATTTGAGGACTGGCACTATTGTTTTGGCAATGTTTTCTTATCATGAGAGGAAACTTCCTAGTTCCACCTCCTTCCACCTGAGAAAACATCAGGACAGGGGCCAAAAGGAAGAATTGGGCATTGTTGCTCTTCCCCTGAGGAGGCGTGCCACCAGCTGAGACCCTGCAACAAGTTTGGCAATGCTGTGAGAGCAGATTTTTTCTATTAATTGTCATTCTGTTTCTGGTACAATGTGTCCCCATGTCGGATGGATTAGGCAGCACCCAGGGCGGTGCCTCCCCTCAGCTGTCCTCAGAATCTCTCCCAGCCCCTGATGCCTTCTCCAAGGCCGAGCTGCCTTCTGTGGCTCTAGTTGGGCCAGAAGAATGTGCCCACACAGGTGGAAGTGAAATATCCTCTAAAGTCAGGCAACTTAGTGAAGTTAGGCAAGAGTTCGATGCAAGATGACTATTTAGAATGAAGCCTGCATCCCACTTATCTTCATTAAGCCAGATTGTGTTCAGGTCTCATTTTAGGATAAGTAAGAAGATGCCTCAAGCTGCATGTGACCTTGATCTTTTATTGCCAGTGAGTATCCCAAGGAAAAAGAGTGATGACATGGGTACCAGAAGTCTCCCAGTTCTTCCTTAGGAGAAGGTAGAATCTAGCTCTTCAAGTCTACCTTCTTCTCAGCCTTGAATTTTCAAGTCTGGGCTAGAAACGCAATTGTTCTTGGTTTCACAGGGTTATTTGCCTCCTCAGCGCTTCTGTTTCCTCAACTTCAAAGTAGAGGAACAGTGTTACCTACCCCATGGGGTTGCTGTGAGTTTTGAGATCTGTGGGTAACTGGCTATATCCTTCAGCTTCCTGTTGTGGTGACAAAATATCTAAGGAAATTAACTTATAAGGAAGCAAATTTATTTTGGCTCATGGTTGCAGAGGTTTCTGGCTCTATTGCTTTTGGGCCTGGAGGAGGACTGTTTACCTCCTGGTGGCCAAGAAGAAAAGAGAAACAGAAAGGGGCTGGGGTCCCAATAGCCCCTTCAAGGGCACGATCCACCAATGACTTAAATTTCTCCCATTAGGTCCCACTTAAAAGTTCTACCACCTTCCAGTGGCACCACAGGCTGGTGACCAGGCCTTTAGCATGTGGGCCTTCGGGGGACATTTGAGATCTAAACCATAATATTGGAATATAAGAGGGGTTCCATGGGTGTCATTTCCCTCTTCTTTTCTTCATCTATAAACCTCAATAGGCTATTTTTGTTGTCCTTCCATGAACTGTGCCTTTAAAACTCCCACACAATATTTTGTAAAAATGCCTTTATTATACATTATTCGCAGTGCACTGTCGTTTTATTGCTCATATATCTGTCTGTCCTCCTAGATCAACTATGGATCACTCATCCCAGTATGCCTGACATAGTATTGCATTTGATAAATGTTTGTTGAACTAATGAATGGCCTTTCTTTCTTTCTTTCTTTTTTTTGATGGTACTGGGGATTGAACCCAGGGATGTTCTACCAATGAGATACATCCTCAGCTCATTTCTAAATTTTTGTTTTGAGATATTTTCTTGCTAAGTTGCTCAGGCTAACCTCCAACTTGCAATCCTCCTGCCTCAGCCTCCCATGTCTCTGGGATTACAGGATGCGCCACTAGGCCCAAAGAATGACTTTAGTTTTAATCATTAAAAAAACACGGATTATAAATTAACAATGGGCTAGTTAGGACTGATTTGGAAATCTGAGATGCCTGGGCAGACTGAAGTTGAGTGAGGATGATGGGGAAAGCTTCTAAATAATTCCTACCATGACATCTGAGGGCCTGGAAATTGCATAGCCATGGAGAATCTATTAACATGCACTTTAATTCCTTCCTAGAAATTAAAAAATAACATAGAAAAATGTAAAAGCCAATAGAACATACACTAGAATTTCTTCTAGAACAAGTAACTATTACTGTTTGTTTTATATTTGCAACTGATATTTTATTCTTAGAAGAGATAAAACATGACTAATTTCATCTCTGAAAGAGATAAAACTGAAAAAGGTAAAACTGAAACCAATGTAGCATCTCCTCGGTCCTATTTCATCCCCATCTCCATAGACAGTCACCGCCTCCCTTGTTTTAGTCTGTCTCCCTGTGTCTCTTGCACTCTGTGTCTCTATCTGCTCTATCTGCACAACAACCCTCTCCTCATGGGTCTCTCCTCAACCAAGTTCTACCCTGCAGACAGAAATTAGGACCTTCCTACACTACATGGTCATAGAGTATTAGTGGCTGGTAACCAGTCCATTATTACACTTTTAACCATTTTAACTTTACAAAATGTATTCCTTTGTATGTTTTGATTTACCCACATTTATACTCTAACTTTTATTTACTTATTGGATATTAGAGATCATTCCATATTGGTATGCATAAGAATTCAGCAAAATACCAATCTTACAGGAGACGAATAGATTAACCAAGTTTTATGGAGATGAACTTAAAGTACATTGGGTAAGATTCCTCTTTACTTTTATCAAATGCCATCTCCTTGATCAAAATTTTGGCTTGGAGAAGAGGTCACTTGGGGATATGAAATCCTCTTCTCTTGGAATCACAAAGGTTTTAAAGTGGCTCTGAGCATGCAGTGAGGGTTTATTGCCAATGAAACCCAGTGCCTGAGCGTGACAGAACTGATCCTTGAAATATCTATTATGGCCTAGGCCAGGACCAATCAGTAGCTCTCCTGCTGGAGCAGGGCCTGGCAGGAGCCCTGATCCCCTCTGTGCCAGGCTTTGTCCCCTTGATTGCCAAATCCTGGTGTGGCCACAGGGGTTGGAGTTGGGTACTAGTGAGGCTCAGGGCAGGGGCTATTTACTGGGATTATACATAAAAAATATTTCAGCACTTTAATAATAATTATATTGTTCTAGTGAGTCCAAGGCCTGGAAATGAGATGGTTCAAAATTTATGCTGTTTATCTTCACAAAATATTTTAAAATTAGGCATCAAAAGACCATCACAGTGATGTATCTGGGCTCTCCTGACTCAGTAGAAACTGAGGCCCAGAAAAGGAAGTAACTTGCTCCGGTTGTCTGGTTAAGGTCAATTTGGGCATAAACTCCCTACCTTGAAGGTTCACCCACTTTTCATGGCAACACAAATGGCCTACCGCCTCTGTCTCAGCTGCCCCTGTGCACACCTACAGCACACCTGCCATCTTTATTTCATATGGCTGTTAGAATAATAACCAGGGAAAAGATCCTAGCATGTGGGAACAATAATAAAATATGCGCTATAATTTTCACATAAGGTGAGTATAATTACTATTTAATAATAAATATGTGTGCAGATCTTTTTTAATCTATAATAAGAGAATACCTTATTTGGCCTCTCTTCCTCATGACCAACTTGTATCTTTAAATATTTCTAGATCAGAGATACTGTGAGAGAGTTAACTTCATACTTCTTGACTTGCTGTTGTTCCCTTAGAGGAAACAGAATGATGATTTATTAGTGCTGAAACAGACCTTGTGGTTATTAGACTGATGTCTCTATTATACAGGTAAGGAAACTGAGGCCCAGACCCATGCCGTGACAA